TACTTTTTTTCCTATATTTCACATTAAACTCATCATAAATCAATGAAAAATAAATTCCATACGAAACGCCCAAAAAGCCTTTTCAGGGAAAATTAATTCCAGAGAAAATAAAGTATTCCACAGTAGTCAAAAATACTTTTATGAACAAAACTGACTGAATTTACCTTATTAGCTGGTGGCTTAAGTATGTGACTTTTAGCATCCATACATATTTCCTTCAATATTCTGAACTTTCGGACCTGTAAAATATAAAGTAAATATTATACATCTGGCTGCAAAAACAAGAAAATTTAAATCAGAGAAACCCAGTAGAGTCAAAAGTGTTGTACACTTATATACATATGGACTCCTCTGTTTACATTAGATGCAGCAACAATGTAGCGTGTGATGGATAAAATCCAGTCAATTAACACAATTATGCAGGGTACAAGTGTTCCATAGCAAAATACCAATTTTCATAATTCAGTGAAAATCTTTAAATTTCTCTGGTGTGCTCGAATTGCTTAGGGCCCACCTCGCCCATAATCCTAACCCTGTACATCCCCATTTCAATTTTAAATGTCCCTCTTCAGGACAAGTAGTTATTTGGAGGGGTATATAAAATTGGGAGACACGGGGTGTTTGGAGTTTGGATTAGAGGGGGGGTGAAGAGGTTCTTTTAACAGTGTCATGACTTTCAAAAAATGTTGTCTTCACAAAAGCCATCAAATCCCGAAAATTTCTAGTAGTGAAAAATTAAAAAATTAAGAAATTGGTTTCATTATGTCATTGATTTCAAATGTTGAGCACAAACGCCCTCTAGTGGCAAGTGACATAAAAAATGACAGCACAATCATAGAGGGCGATATACTTACACCATCCACCATCTTTGTCCATTCTTTCTTGCATTCATCCGAGTTGAAATTGTCACACGATATATTTTCCCACACGATTTTGCTGGATCGACTCTTAAACGAAAGAACATCATTTGCTGGAATCTGTCGTTCTACTTGGGCCACTAAGTCTAATTGTTGATCAGTGGTCCACTCTCCTGTGAAAAATGCAGCAGAAAAAAAGATATATGGTAAACTGGTTCAAATATTGCAGAAAAAAAAAACATTCTTATTTTAGAAATTTGGCAAATTTTATGTTCAGAATTGCCACTAAGTTTAATAAATCAGTCAATGCCTGTCCAAGAAATGGCTCTTGACAGATGGAAAGATACACATTAGAAAACAAGTGTAACATGTAGACATGAGATGGGTGCCAGTCAGCCATATTTTTGCATGTGTAAAACTAAAACTCTTTAATGTCCTTGTCCCAGGATTGACATATCTGACAATGCATCAAGTTCTTAAAACAGAGTAACTATTGTATAAACCAAGTCATTGAAAATGACACAGTCCCCGTTAAGTTCTCTTTGTGCTCGTCATATTAAAGCGGAGGGGTTGTCGCGAACGTGTCCTTGAAACTTGAGTTTCAAGAAGCGTATACAACAGATTGTTTATTTACATCAAAACAAGTGTTTCGTATCGTAGTAATATGGCCAAAATAAAAACAGCCGTTACTCGGCCATCTTTGATCTGATTATGAAATACACTGATATGTATGATGTATGTGCCAAATACGAATGAAAATGGTACATAAACTGTGGAAATATAGTAGTAAGGCCAAAAAGTCAGATGGCTGTCAATCGACCATCCTTGACCAGATTTGAAACAAAATGTCATGGACATGCATTCTGACATGTATAAAGTACATGTATGTGCCAAATTTGAATGAAAACTGACAGAGCATGTCCAAGATGCCGCATAAAAAAAAAAAACAAGATGCCTGCCAGTCGACCATCTTTGATCCAATTGCGAAATAAATCGTCATGGACATGTATCCTAACATGTATAATCTATGTACCAAGTTTGAATGAAAACTGACAAAGCATGTCCAAAATACAACATTTTCAAAAAACAAGATGGCTGCCAGTCGGCCATTTTAAATCTAATCGCTAAACCACTGCATGTGCATATGTCCCACCATAAAGGACTAGGCACATGCAAAGAATGAACGGAATCGATCCAAGGGATTCTGAGATATGACTCCGGACAAACGCACGAACGGACGGAGGCCGAATTATAAGTCCCCGTTTCGGACTTTGTCCGAACGGGGACTAATAAATTGCATAGAATTTCCCAAAACAAGCAGCCTCTCTGATGAGATAGCTCTGCTGTTAGCAATGTATATTTCAATTAAAGAATTGAAGATATCACAAAATGAGCAAATCTGACAGAGGTTCACCTGTAGTACCTTTATGTAGAATATCAAATCAATCAGACTTTTTTACCCAAAATGACAAAATTATTCATCTAAATTAGAGAATTGAAAATATCATGAAATGAACAAATCTAAGTCAACCCAGGGTACATATACACCAAGTATCAAAGCAATCAGGCTTGTAGTTTTCAAGCAGAAGTCGAAAAAGTAAAAAGTTGATGTGGACAACGACTGACAATCACTTGTATGATAAGCTCCACTTGACAAAGTTGATAGCGGAACTAAATACCAACAACACTGCACTTGCCTTTTTTTTTTTATTTATACTTATAAACTTATCTTAGAAAGCAAATTACTATCATCACCAGTTAATTGTCTTTAAGTCTTATTTCAGTCAAATTTTACCTCATCTTGAAACCTGCACTTTCTAGTTGGATCAAAACTGAACTTTTTTCATGGCAATTGATGAGATAAAATACCTGGTTTAGCAACAGACTTGGGTTTTTTTCCTGGTGATACTCCTTCAGTTGTTCCATTGTTTTCAACCACATCAACTTTTCTTTTCCTTCCTGTTTGTCAAAATTAAAAAGAAATAAGTTTAGAAAGTATAAACCAACATAATAAAAATATGTACATATTTGTGATCCCTCAAGTTCAAACATCCTGGTACTTGTTTATGGCCTCCCCCTAAAGGTCACACATCCTGGTACTTGTTTATGGCCCCCTAAAGGTCACACATCCTGGTACTTGTTTATGGCCCCCTAAAGGTCACACATCCTGGTACTTGTTTATGGCCCCCTAAAGGTCACACATCCTGGTACTTGTTTATGCCCCCCCCTAAAGGTCACACACCCTGGTACTTGTTTATGCCCCCCACCAAAGATAACATATCCCGCTACTTGTTTATGGCCCCCTAAAAGTCCCACATCCTGGTACTTGTTTATGCCCCCCTAAAGGTCACACACCCTGGTACTTGTTTATGCCCCCCTAAAGGTCACACACCCTGGTACTTGTTTATGCCCCCCCATTAAAGGTAACATATCCTGGTACTTGTTTATGCCCCCCCCCCCACTAAAGGTAACATATCCTGGTACTTGTTTATGCCCCCCTAAAGGTCACACATCCTGGTACTTGTTTATGCTCCCCCTAAAGGTCACACATCCTGGTACTTGTTCATGGCCCCCCTAAAGGTCCCACATCCTG